AAAAGAAAAACAAGGGCCCAATTCGTTACGGAAATCCAGTGACACACTCCATTAAATTAATCAAGACCGATCAAGACAGAACCGATCTTAACAAAGCAGCGCTCGAGGCATACAGAGTCAATTTAGTAACACTGAAATCGGATGTCAGCAAGCCGATTGAGACAAAGTTGGGATTATTGGGAAAACATCTATTTCGTCGGAAATTTGGAAGTGAGGCACTAGATATCACAAAGACTTGGAACGCGGCATGGCAAGTACCACTATATGTGGAGAAAAACGAAACAGTAGAGCAGAACAAAGCAGTGGAAAATTAGAAAAGGAATGTCATACAAACTCATAATCGTGGAAAAACAATTAAGCTGAGTACTAAAACTCTTATTTATTTAAACTTTTTTTGTATACTATATAAAATTTTGTTATTCCAAGAGAAGTGTGGTACAGCACAAACTGCATGTGCAGTAACCAAGTAACCGTCGCTGCACACTAACCTTGGAACACGTAACGGTATCTGTAATTACATATATTGTTATTATGTAATGGCCAAGGTCACGCAGTGTTGATCGCTGCGTAGTTTCTGTTTTAGTTCTTAGCACTGCGTACCGAGATACGTTTCTTGAGCTGGTTCACGAAACCGTAGATGATGTTAAAAAACACAGTTTCAATTAAAATTAAAACTTTTGAATTTAATCATTTTCAATTTAAGTGTAAAGCTTTACATCACTTTACCACATTGTAGGAGATTGTCGCGAGAGGCATTGGCCAGCCCAGACGTCCCAAATAACTATTAACCACTGTTCAAAATAAAACTCTAGGATAGTTCGAATGAGTTTCCATCACATCTGCTTTTTTGCCCTTTTCAAGGAGGAAGGCAAGTTTTTCATGCTATTGTAAGTTTTTGTTAACAAAAAAATGTTCAAAACATGAATGATGAGCGAAAAAACTCAAAATACAAGATTTTTTCGAATATTGTACAGCTAATGTTTTACGCTTATCAGAAAACCAGAAATCTGTTGCTACAGCCAGCAGAAAAACATAAATTCTTGAAGTGCAGTGGAAACAACAAAATTTTTTTTTTATTACTTTTATATGTTCCCTCCTTTTTTGTTATTTGATGCGCAAAAGTAAGTTTATAGTCATACATTAAATGATCAGAACAAATCGAGGAAAACAATGAAAGTAATGGACGACAAAAATTGTTAAACGACGGACAAAATTAAATTTTACGGTCCAAATTACTTAAAATTTTGGTAAATTTTTGACGCCAGATCATTTCACTATCCATGCTATAGTCAACTCAAAGGTTTTCACAGCAAAAAAGTATCTTCCTTCAAAATCACAGCTGCTCAATTTTAATCAACGGCGTGTAGGTAGGATTAAACAAAAGATGAATTGTAAAAAACTATTTATGAGAGCAAGAAGTATATATTATGAGCGCAGCCAAAAATGAGCTGAAAATTACACTGAACTATTTAAAGTTCAAACTTTTCTTTAAAACTTGATTCCATTTCCAAGTCGCCTGATTCTGTCTCGGAATAACAAAAGTTAATCTTGAAGTAATTTCCGGCAAAAGATGAGCTGAAAAAAAAACAATGGAAACATTTGAAGTTCGAAACGTTATTTAAAATTTCACTCAACTCGCAACTCATCTGATCTTGCCTCGCAATCAAAACAAATCAAAACGAAGCAAAACTTGTCTTGGAATCAAAATGAAAGATAATAAGTCAAACTAATCTCGAAACGTCAATTTTTCTTATTGGAAATATGATTAATTTGAAAAACTTTTTGCATTTCAATTTCTCAGTTTTCACTGAGGCATTAATGTTGTTGATATGATGCTTTAAACTCTGCAAGTTATCAATTTTGCGAATATACCTTAGCATCTATTTCTTTCAGTTCGGTGAGCATTAAGCTGCGCTTGGTTTTGCGCAATGCATTGTTTTCTTAGCGTTTGTGGCTAATTTTACTGTATTTTAAAGGAAAATAATCTGCAAAAGGATAAGAAATAAATGTCCAGCAGCAAATGATTTTGCTAGTGTTCAAGCTTAGTTCTCTCCTATCAAACAAAAGAGTTTAATTCGTGTTTTGAAGTCAAATTAATCTATTATATTCAATTAAATTTGCTAATAGGATTTTTTTCTAGATGTGTTTTTCTAGTATTCGAGAGTTTATTTCAAAAGTGCCTCAACTGCTAATTAATGGATTTGCTTCCTATTGAGGTGTATTAGGCTCAATATTCTAACAAAACATTTTCGTTGTTTGTTCATCCATTTTAAGTTTTTGCCTCGTGGACTTTTCTCCAGCATTCAGTTTACTCTATTTTACCCCAATCTCTCTCGAAAAATTATCAACTCTGATAACCAAGTGACTGAGATCATGGTTTGATTGCTACTTCCGTAATCGATTAGTGAAATTAGTAACAAAAGTCACGATTGATTACTATTTATTAAGTTTTGAAGCCAGCACGAAGAGTGGGTTGTTTCGCAGTCTTTTTTAGTGTGATAAAATTGTATAAGGGATCCTTATCTCATTGTGTAAGCCAAATTTTAGACTTCTGCTCCTTTCAAAAGTAAGCAATAAGTAGATCAAAAACTTATAATAATAACTTTGATTTAGAAAGCACCAGAACTCTCTTCTAGTTCTAGAAAAAAGTTACACAAAAAGTTATGTTGGTGAGTTATAATATTAGTAAAATGTAGAGCTGGCCCGTATTATACAACCTAATTAAGCAATATGTCTGCTCTAAAACCCAAATCTTTCTTTTTACAGCAGTTATTAATTTATAAAATTCGCTTCATAGCGCTTTAATGACAGTGCTCTGAAAATTTTTTTGGTGCCACGAAAACTTTTTTTCAGGAAACATTTTTTTTTTACTGATATTGAGCTCTACAACATCGAGAAACCACTCTCCTAATCATTTGGCAGTGGCACATCAAAAAACGGAACGTTTTCAGCTTTTGTGGTCAAACACTCGAAAAAAGCTTATTTCGAGTCAGAAAAAAGTATATTTCGAGTCGGTCTGAACCACTTTTGTTCCCCTTCCTTTTTACCCACTTCAAGGATAAAGGCTAAAATTATTTTATTTCATTCTTTGTGTTATGAAATTTTTCGCTCATTGTTTAAGCTTTGAACAAACTATTTTTCATCTTTGGAAAAAGCAGCCAAGAGTAGTCGGATACCACAGCAAATTTTTTGAAATTACTAAGAAACCAGAGCTTTTCTGCTGGACTTAAAACTGGCTAAAAATTAAAACTAAAAATTAAAAATCAGAGTCAACAACAAAAATCTATACCAAACATCATAATTTTTCTCGATTTCGCTATTTCTTTTCAGTTGATATCGAGTTTTTTGCGGAATTATAAAGTTTCTACAGGTACTTGGGAATGCCAAAACTAACCGTGACATTATAAGCAGTATAAAAACTCAAAATACGGCGAAAAATACTTTAGACGGTCAAATTTAAGAAACTTTATAGTAACCTATTGGAACCAAAACCTTTCAAAATCCATGAAATAATCATTTCAAAGGTTATTGCTACAGAAAGGTCACTATCTTCAATATCACATCTGCCTATTTCTAATCAGCGGCGTGTAGGTACGATTTAAGGAAAGATGAACTGTAAAAGATGGTTTGCGAGTGTAAGAAGCATATTTCCTAAGCGCGAGTACGATGTGCATGGCAAAAGATGAACTGAAAAAATGCAATGGTCTAATTTGAAGTTCGAAACGTTGTTTAGAGCTTTAGTTCACTCCCAACGTGTCTGCTCCTGTCTCCGAATATCAAATCTCAAAGAACCAAACGTTTCAAAGTAATCATTTTTCTTGTTGAAACATGATTACTTTAAAAATTTCGATTGAGGAAGTTTTTTTGTTGTTATGATGTCATGAGCTCTTTTAAACTTCAAATGACGAAATTACTGCAGTAATTTGGGACAACTAACTTAGAAACAAAAATTAGTAAATGTAATCGTAACTCAAGAATTTATAATATACAATTGAAATTAACCATCAGGCTTCATGTTTTCTGCCTCTTTTGCAACTTTTATTTAGTGGAGAGCGTTTTTTACAAAACGTCAAAATATCTGGAAACAATTTTGAGAAAAGGTTTTGCAAAAAACAATTCAGCTATTCTCTTGAGTTCGTGTAGCGTTTATTTGCCCTTTATCTTGCGTAATGCAATATTTTCTCAGCGTTAGCGTTTATGTTTAGCAAATATTAAAAGAAAAACAATCAGAGAAAGCATGAAGAAAAACATCAAGCAAGGAGAAAAACTTCAGCCGCATATAACTTTTTAAACTTTCTACCTCCGGCTTAGTTCTCTCCTATCATACAAATAATTCATGTCAAATTAATGAATTTCAGTCAAAAAAAAGATGACCAAAATTGTTTGAGATAACGACTTACTTACCAGTGTAGTTCAAAAGTACCTCAATTGCCGCTTAATGGAGTTGCTTCCTAATAAAGTACATTACGTTTTACATTTTTAAGAAAATTTCGTTTTTTGTCATTTATTTAGTTTTTTACCGCGTTCACTTCAGCCTTCCCTCCTTTTACGACCTCTCTCTAATTATATTTTGCATTTCGTACGGCATTAAACAAGGATTATAATAGAATTTTTGTTTTGTTATGGTTTGAATGCTATAACCTTACACGATTAATGACATTTCAGCCAGAGAAAATCGTCATAATTGATTTTTATCTCTTAACTTTTGTTGCAAGCATGAAAAGTGGGTTGTTTCGCCATCTTTATTTTACTATTAAGTGCCTATATTTTAGTATTTTTGTAACTTTAATAATTTTATAAGCTTTTTCACTTATTTTATTGTGTAAGCTAATTTTTAGGCATATTTTTTCTTTACTCAGAATTATTCTTTACTCAGAATTCTGTCCCACTCAAAAATCAGTAGTAAAGCAAAACAAATCAAATATATTTATTCTTTAGTTAGAATTATAAAATCTTTATTTACAAACTGTTTACTAACAAATTTTAATAGGCTAAGAAATATTTACAGATTATATACGTATCAACTTAATTCCATTTCAGAGTTATTACGAAGGTTAATAGCTATCATTGGTATTCAAAATGATAAAATGAGGCCCAGTGTTCAATTACAAATTTCTCACAGCATCACTGAATTCAATCATTATTTTGGAGTCGTTGATTTTCAGATTTTTCTGAAGAAATTCGAGAAAAAACTGTGGCGCTGTCAATTGCCAATTTTTCAACTCTGTCAAATTCCTCCCTGTCAGCGACCCCAGCGCTGAATTTTTCAACTTTGATCGCTGGAACCCAATTCCAACTAACCACTCTTTCACCTCATCTGCAGTCCATTGGTTGAACTTTGCGTCTTCGCTCTTTGGGAAGCTCGGATTTGAGTTGAGATTGTTTTGCTTGCTTTCAGCAACTGGAGAATCGGTTTCATCAACGTTTGTGCATAACTTCTCAATATAACTTATGAGTTTTTTAAATTCAGAAGAGAAGTCTTTCTCGTCATAGAGGTGGTAATAGATATCTTGTTCCATGATGATATCCAACCATCCTTGAGGTTGGAAATCAGCTTGAACGTGCGCGAACACAATTTTCTTTTTCTTCCTGTTAGCGTACTTTGCCTCTTGTCGACATGGCAGACTGTTGCTGTAATCCTCAGAGACGCAGCAAACCACAACTTCGGAGTCCATAACTGCATTCGCCATTTGCTCCAGCATGTCCCCTTGCATTTGCTCACGGTCTATCCACACTTTCTTTCCTCGCTTTCTCAGACCCTCTAAAATCTTCTGAGCTATATCTTGCTGCTTCCAACAGTAGCTGATCATTATATGTTTCTCTTTTGCGCTCTTTTTTGAACTACTTTCGTGCTTAACCATGTCCAGTTCCCAGAGAATTCCCTCAGCTGCACAAGAGATATCTGTTTTTTTTCCACTTTTGGATGCTTTTTCGATCAATTCTACAATTTTGTGATTTTTAAGTTTTTCACGACCTTCTTTTAAGAAACTAAGTGACCAAACAAGATGCAGGGACCATTTAACTTCCGGTTGAATTGATTTTTCACATAGTGTTAAGCTATTTGAATTGTCTTTGAGTACTTTGAAGCAGTCTTCAATAATTCCCAGCTTCAACATTTCAATCGCATTGTTAGAATTTTTGGACAATTTCGATAAACTTTCCAATAACTCGTCAACTAAGAAGCCATCTGAATTTCGTCTAGTCACTGAGTCCATAGCCTTCTCAAGAAGATGCCGAACTAAAAACTTGATATTGCTTTCGGTCGCCCGGATTACTTCACTACTCTCGTCTAAGTCAGCGACAAAAGTCAAAACTAGAAGTGCCTCTGCTTTAACTTCTAGTATTTCACTTTTGAGGTACTGCAAACAAATTTGAACTAAGCCCTCTTTCCGCATGATTCGCTGTGATTCAGTGTAGTTTCTGAGGATGTTATGAGCCACATAAAGCAGATGAATTGCCTTCCAACAAATTTCGACATTTTCACCCATCAATACATTTTTGACCTCAGGACGCTCCAATCTCCTAATTATCAGCTTATAAACTTCTGATTCGATTATTTTTTTTCTGATATCCGCACTTTGCTCTGAACCACTGACAAAGAGAGAATTCAGCCGTTTAAAATTGGTGAAAGCAGGCTCTGCAAAAAGATCTGCTTCCAGGTAAGTGAAACTGTCTGAATAAGTTTGGACTAATCCGAGTTCGATCATCAGCGTCCACAATCGATCATGAGAATCACATACTACTCCATCCAGATGATCCATAACTTCCTGTAACACACTCAACGGTTCCGCAAGGTCATCCTTTTCGATATTACCTTCTTTTATTTTTGAAAAACTTTCTCTAATCAATTGTTCTGCTGTGGTCCAATCCACATTATCTTCCGTGACTGTTTCATTCGATTTTGTTTCATAGTCGCTTTCGCTTTCCATTTTACAAAATAGATTTCGAAATCTATTTTCACCACTGCTAATGGAAATACTATCCGCAAATTGATTCGGTTTTCTCAAAACTTACTTGAGAAATCGAGAGTCTCGATGCCGTTCTGCTAAATTCGAAATATCAACTTAGATGTTTTTTTCTATTTTTTTTTTGTGAATTAGTTTTTTCGGTTTTGTCGTTTGTACTTGATGTTGATTTACGTTCAGCAACTAAGTTGTCTTGAGTGCCTTTCTCCAAATCGTAAAAACGAGAAAACTAAGTTTAACATTTCAGCTATCGTACTTTTTGAAGAAAAAACAAAGTAAAGGTGCGCGCACGACAGAAATAACCAACTTTATTTTCGAATAATCATAACAAAATGGTATTATAAGCTGACTAAAATTTATTTTCTGCACGACAAAATGGTATTATAAGCTGACTAAAACTGATTTTCTTGTACGACAAAATGGTATTATAAGCTGACTAAAACTGATTTTTATGTAAGACGGCGGAGTTGCTGAAGTAGCTACTGCAGATGTAAGAGTAGTTGATGCTTGCAGAAGTCCCTGATTGGTTCGTGAAACCCATTCGATTTCTGCTAATATGGAAACTAAGTTCTACAAATATATATATTTTTTTTCGACAACTAATTTGTGATTTCGTACGAGTCTTATTTAGCTATAAACGTTGCAGTCAGCTTCTACTCACATGGAAAACTCAAGATACTAGGTGATTAGAAACTGGCAAATATTTTGCCCAAAACTAATTGGAGTTTATTATATTCGACAAAAAAACTGAGCCAGTGAAATTTGCATTCGGTTGTTAAATATCTGTTACAGACAGAGCTTGACCAAACGAGGCTATTGTTCTGACCAATCAGAGTCCGTCGGGTGCGCTTGTTTTTTTATCAGAGTCACTTGCAACTTCATCTTCAAATAACTCAGCAACTCACTTTGTTCTTCCATTTTTCAAAAAATTTATAAAAACGATGCCGCAAGAAAATAATTTTGCTCCGACCCCTCTCTATTGGTAGGTGGTCTAATGTGGGTGCCTTCTAAAACTTTCGAAAAAACATCGACTTAGAAAATGGTCGTCGTTACCCTTGCAAAATTTCTAACCTGTCTCGCGTGTATCGAAACTTTACATAAAAAGATGAATCGATAGAAACTTTTAAGGGTAAAGTTACTAATCTAGTTTTTTTTTTCAAAATGAGCAAACCCCAATTAAAACTAAAACCCCGAAAAAACAATCGAAAAATTTTCAGATATTTTCCTAGGCTGTTTTAATAATGTAGACGTTTTAAACAGGTGAATACTTCTTCAGTTCTTTTTAATCAAGTTGACATTTTATAATTTTAATCAAAACCGACAATGAACCCGGATTCAGGGGGTATCTGCAGCCCAGGCGGTATCCGTGAGTACAATTACTGGAGAGAAAAAAGTGGATAATGTGAAACATTTAAAACAAGCGTAACAAATACATCAAGGAACGGTTTCCTGAACAAGAGGCAGACATAACGAAAGCGGCCAATGATATGGACTTGATATGTAACACTCGTAGTTACATTGTATCAGTTGCATTGTATAAAAAACGATGAGGTGAAACAACGTTTCATGCGAGCTGACGCAGTTGATGAACTGCATTCGATTGATACTATTGAACGAAAAAAAGAGTGATCACCGACTCATGTCATGACAACAATGAGAAGGAATTCCTCAGAAAAACCATCACCATTAGTGCACATTGAACAAAAAAGGGGACCGCTTGTGGAACTCCGATGCAAGCATACAGTAATATTTCAGTTAAAATGTAAAGAATTTGAAGTGCTTTTCTTACCCATACTGGGTAGTAAGGCTTTTAATAAACTACTTGAAGTTGTTATCGATTAATAACTTATATAGATGGACATCAAGAAAATTAGAGAAAACGGAGACAACAACCTTTTTTTCTGTCTTTTGTTTTATATTTTGATTTTCCATTATTTTCACTTCGTCAAGTTTTTTTTTCGTTTTCGGCAAGGAACACATTGCGAACAAAATTAGGGGCGATGTACCAACAAGAACTTAGGTCAATTTGTGTGATATCCGCACTGCTGTTGTGAAACGTGGAAAAACAAAACTTAGGTAGTCTTTTTAAAACACTGTGAGTAAGTTCTGCTAGTTCCGAGCTGCTCTGTGGTCATATTAATTGAATGAGATTTTTCCAGAAAAAGCAAACCGAATACAGTCATTCAAAATTCTGTCTTCTGGTCTTTTAGTTCCCATTGCTTGCATAATTTCTGGCTGCAATCCGATGTTTTCAATTTAATATTTTTGTAGAAGTAGAAAGTAAGAAACCAAGCTCTTCGCACACAAAATTTTATTCAACGAATTGAAGAAACCAATTAAGAGTTAAATGTTACGCAGATCATATGATTAGCAGAGTCATAGAGGAAATAGTTTCTTAAACTTTTTCAGTGGATTGACAAAAAATTAGATCTTTGCTCCAATATTTTTTTCACAAATTTGAAACGAAAATGTGGCATTTCGCCCATTTTGCCCAAAGTGCTAAAATTACTTGTTCAACTGAATTTGGCTTACAAAAACTTCTGACAACATTATGTTCAAAAATTGAAGATACGAATCTCTCTTTAGCTGCGCTATAGTTAAACGAAGAGGTGATATTGGCACCTATCTCAACAGCCGGCAAAACAAATTACAAACATAGGCGCTACGCGCAATACACCGAAGGCATAGAAACTGAAGCAAAAACCAAACAACTTGAACAACTAATAATTGAAGAATAACAGTTCTAGAACAAAAAATCGTACTAATACATGTATACACCAAAATTTTGCTATATCGAGAAAGAGCCTGAAATAACAGTTCTAGAACTAAAAATCGTACTAACACATGTATAGGTTAAATTTTTGATATATCAACGAAGATCATAAAATAACACTTCTAGAACTAAAAATCGTACTAACACATGTATACACCAAAATTTTACTATATTGACAAAGGGCCTGAAATAACAGTTCGTGAGCTAAAAATCGTACTAACACATGTATACACCAAAATTTTGCTATATTGACAAAGATCATGGAATAACAGTTCGAGAACTAAAAATGGTACTAACACATGTATACAATAAAATTTTGATATATTGACAAAGATCATGAAATAACAGTTCGAGAACTAAAAATCGTAATAACACATGTATACACTAAAATTTTGATATATTGACATAGATCATAAAATAACAGTTCGAGAACTAAAAATGGTACTAACACATGTATACGCTAAAATATTGCTATATTGACGAATATGTACATACATAAATTATAAATAAAAACTAAACATAATTAAATAAATAGAAGAACAGATAATTAAATAAATAAAGATGAACAAATAAAGAAACAAACATACGCAATCACGTGACATAGCGCGATATAGTCCAGCCCACATGATAATTGATAACTGTGGACGTTATTTGTCGACACTTGACAACAGACAACATTAAAAAAAAAACCCGTTACACGATACCATAACACCTTGACTAAAGTCTTCGGTGTAAAAAAGACAATAATTTTCAGTTCCTGTCAATGCTCATAAATAACATAAATAAAAAAGAAAATTTAGGTCAGCTGTATATACATTCAGACATATTTGCTAAACAGCGATACCTTCGAAGTCCGCAAATATAGTTGAATGAAATTTTGCTAATTTCTGAAAGACAACACATAGTTTGTGTAGATTCTAACGTGAAATTTCTGTCAATTTTGGTGAAGCGATGAAAAAGTAAGGGTATCATGATAAAAAACGGCAAACTAAATCGGCTGCCTCCCAACAAGAGGGGCTGGCACCCAATAAGAGTGACAGAATATAGCAGTACATTGATTGACTTAGTTTTCTGTACAACGGGTTCTCTCAAAAGCATTTATGTTCATTTGGTGTTCAATCGTTCTCGTAATTTCTCAAAAACGATTTTTTATTTTAAAAATGCTAGAAATTGTAACAAGTTGAAAAATAGTGAAACTTGTAAAAAGTTTACATATATTTTGCAGCGTAAAATTGATGAACATATGCAATTTTGGAATCCTGAGGACTCGTAACAGTATTCAAGTACTTTAGAAAAAAATGAATCTTTTCTTGCTCAATTTTTCAAGAACGGTTACTTGTACAAACAAAAATATTCATGGTTTGACGAGAAATAAAAAAGTAGCGGCAAAAAAGAAACGGTCATGACACCCCTTTTCTGAATGTTGAAACAAAAGATGCGCAGATTAAATATAGTTCTCAAAACCAGAGTCTTTCAGAATCGTCAAAATCTTAAGCGTTCAAAAAAACAGCGAACGT